TGATGTTTCATTTTAAAAAATGGGGTTTTTTTTGCCGACTGCATAATAACACCACAAAGAAGAGCTATCGAAAGTCAAAAAGATGGCAAGTGGGCAGAGAACATTAAAGGCAGATCCTATGCCAAAAATTAGCCTGTAAAAGTGGGATCCTGAAGCTGTATAGTTCTTATCTCCCAATGATTTCCACATAAAACGTTTAACTTTAAACACATGAACAGTCCCATTGATTTTAAATGAGATTATTCTTGTGCACATTTAAGCATGTGCTTACATGCTGGATCGGGGCCGTTAAAAGCATAATAACGTATATAAAGGAAAAGATGTAATATTAAAGAATCAAAATTATTTGTAACTCGCCATTCTCAAACGAGGTTGAGAATGGCTCTTGGGAATTCTGTGCATAAGCATATATCCAAGGGAAGAAACTGCAACAACAGAAAACCAGATGAATAAGAAATGCCAACAGCTTGTCCGATAATATTTTACTTCCAGTTTAAAAAAAGTGTAAATGAAGTCAAAACACTTACACAGAAGACATGCAGGACTACAGCTCCATGTCTTCTGTCCTCATTTGTAAAGATGTCGCTGGGGAATTCATGGAGAGCTGGGAAAGGAGAAAAAAGAAACATTTAATCAGGATAGTGGAAAGATGCAATTTATGGCAAAGTAAGGTAATAAAAACAGATGAGTCCTTCTGTAGGTTGGTAATCTTGCAACAGACATGAATATGGGATCCCGTGCCATGGGTTTTTGCGACTGCTTTATGTTATGTTAGTTTGCTTAATCTGTCCTCTGGCCATTTATAGATCTGTGTATATTTACTGTGTAATTCAGAGCCATAGCAACCATAACATTACATCTCACGAAGATGCCTCGGAGATACCGAACAAATTCTAAGCTCAGCATCCTACTCCATAAAATGTTAAAGAGGAAAATGTTCTATTCTGGATTAAGCAGATGTGCAGCAATACAGATCACAAAGCATTTTTTACACAACGTTTTGTATTTGAAAAGGGAAAACCCTCAGAATGGGATGGGGAGAAGAATGGCAGGTGCTAGAAATGTTTAAAGTCAAAATGATTTATTGCCATGGGCTTCTTAGCATAATACACTCCTGGAATACACAAAACTCCTCATGATTAGGAACAGCTGGGTCTTGTCTCTGAGTCAGACCTCTTCTAACACCATTTTGGTCTGGACAGGGGACTAAACATAATACAGAGATGTATTAAGAGACGGCATTAACGATGTGATTGGGGTATGGATGCTTGAGCCACAGTGAAATAAATGTAGACGGTAATCTGCACCCTCAGAAAACACCATCCAGCCGATCTGAACACACAGGAGGGAGAACAACAATTCAAACCAAGCGTGAAGCAATCATTTTCAAAGTGGACACCCACAGCTATCATGGGTAAACACGATCAAGCCCTGGCTGGGATGATTTAGTTTGGAATTGGTCCTGCTTTGAGCAGGGGGTTGGACTAGATGACCTCCTGAGGTCCCTTCCAACCCTGATATTCTATGCTTCTATGATTCTATGGGTGGATGTACAATAGAGGCAGTTTCCTCTCCACAAGTGACAGGAACCGTCATCTGTGTATTCTGCTGGGTGGGGGAGATGTCACCGCTCCAATGGTAGGATAGCACTAACGGCACTATAAACCATAGCATCATCCCCTGGGCTGTCTTGATGAACAGATGGCTGCTTGGCCCCATCTCCCTCTGGAGCAATAAAAGATCTGCACATGTACCTGCCTATATACTTTCGAACTAGTTCTTCTTCTGGCAGAAAGGACATTTCCCTGAGGTCATGTTTGTTTTTCATATCTAGCAATTGTACTTAGTTCACTTAGTGTACTTAGCCCCTGGGAGCTGGGGATCTAAATACCTTTGTGGATCTGGGTCAAAGAGCCTTGCCCAAGCTCACATAGGTCTCTCCTTTGGTTGAACCAAGGTGATGCATGATGGGAGTCACATAACCATGGTGTATCATGGGAAAAGCGGTATGGCCCAGTGAGAATGAGGCATGAAGTACTTGAACTACAATTCCCATGAATAGACCTGGCAGAACTTGGTTGTTGGTTTTTTAAATAACAATTTCGATGGATACTATCAATGTTTATTTTAAGCATTTTTTTTTTAGATTTTTATCAATGTAAATGTTCACAGTTCAGCAAAATGATAGGTTGTAAGCGTTTTTTAGAATTATAGTGATTTGAATTTTCACAGTTGTGCGAAATTGGGGGCAGTGGGTCAGAGTTATTTAATGACAGTAGATGCTGAGATTCAAAAAGTTAAAGCTTTATAAACCATTAAAACACAAATTGTCAACATTGTGTCACAATAATAAAAGTAAAAACCCTTAAATCAACAAATCATACCTGTTTTCACTATTCATTCACTAGTCCATTTGTAATAAGCCTAAATCACTGGATTTTGACTTTAGTAAGTTCTCAAGAAGAACTTTTCTTACGTTGCCTATCATTAAATTTCAATCATCATGGATGGAAATATTATGTTGGATCGTGTATATATGGTGAAATTGACATTTGCCAATATTTACCACTAAAAATCGAATCCTTTCAACTCTACCATGAGACACCATGGCAGTTCCGGGGGATAATTGTTGAACCAAGTTGAAGCAAAATGCTTCAACATTTCCAGGCCAATATTTTTCAGAAGTTTCTGTCCCATGAAAAATTTTGACTGATTCAGAGCGAAAATAAATGTCAAAATATTGACCTTTCCCATGGGACAAAAATTCCTATTTTTCAACTAGCTCTAGATAAATGCAGGATGATCTAAGGTGTGTCAGATGGTGTCATTTACATGTTGAGAAGGCACGAAAAAGGTGCAAATTATGTCACTGTAGACATCCTTGATCTCACCTCTGAACTTTGCCCTGAACTTATTATTCGTGGATCAGAACCCAATTCCTTTTTACCTAAAATATTTCTCCATGTCCCCAAGGTGAGCAAGACTCTTTCTGTATGACACTAGCTCTACCAGGAGCTTTGTTAGTTCTCAGAGCAAACTATGCTGAAAAATGGCAAAGAACTCTGAATGCAAGGATTTTCACTGTGCCTTACTGGTGCGACACACTTATTGACACTACAACCTCACCCCGCACGGCCATAATATGAAACACATAGCTGGAGAAGAGCAGCTTGGAGGTTGCATGGTGCCAACACTACATTATTCATCAAGTGAGTGTGTCACATATGCTGGTGACTGCCAAGCTACTCCCCAGGAAAAAGGTAAATGCACTTAACATTACCTGACACTTAGAAGTATTATGAGGACTAAATATTATTATTTCTTTCATTTTTGTAATCACTGATAATACCTAGCTCGTATACAGCACTTTTTATCCATAGAGCTCAAAGTGCTTTACAAAGGAGAGCAGGATCATTATCCCCATTTTACAGATGGGGAAACTGAGGCACAAGGCGGTAAGTGCCTTGACCAAGGTCACCCAGCAGGCCAGCAAATCACATTTGAACATGGGTGCCCTCTTTTTAAGGGCTAAGACACTACCAGCTGCTTATATCTTCACTTCAGTAGCATTCCAGTGCATAAATAAATTGCTGGAAATAAGTCCTGTTTCAGGGCCAATATCTCTGGTAAGAGTTCCACCTCCTACTCCTACTGTTCCTAATCAAAGCTTGCATGCTAGTTTGTGTGGGGTTGGTGTGTCTTTCAAAACCAAACCCCAGTTGCAGAGTCCAGTAAACACACTCTGCAGAGATAACAGCTGCTCTATATTTAGATGTATTTGCCTGTATGAGAGAAGATTCCATTGGATGTTCTGTATTCATTTCAAATAATAGCTTTTCCCCTGCAGCAGACTCAAAGGCAAAGTTATTATTGCTCTGAATGAAGAATATGAATGTTTACTCTGCAGTAATGCTGTAGGATTCAGGCAAACTCCATGGTCTAATTAGCTTAGAAGAGAGCATCTGTTGGTAGAAGTGAACCATGAAGAAACTTCATGCAGAGACATAATTATTTCAAATAAGATGATGGAAAGAAATACCAAATCAGATGCATTTTAACTGTCCATCACGAGAAAACACAGGCCCACTTTCTGATCTCAGTTACTCTTGATGTAAACCTAGAATAACTTCATTGAAAACAGAGGGCTTACAGCAGCATAACAGGGATCAGAATTTGGCCCCTAGTCTCTTTGCTCAGTCAGACTGCTTTGGGTTGTGGATTCTTTAGGAATCTGTATCCTTAATATTGAAACTGAAAAGAAATAGATTAAAATCTGTTCAGTATTAATGCGTTTTGGCCAATCAAATGCTGGTGTTGCAAGCCACTAATGACACTAATTGCAGTACAATTGAAAGAGGTTAGATTGTCTCGTAGCTACCTCGGTCACAAGCCTGCAGCCAATGGAGTGGAGCCACTGCGTCCTCACCTATATCCATGTTGCACCTGCTTTTGCTTCCCTCCTTCCTTACAGCAGGAGGGGAGGTATCAGGCCTAGTGTATTGAATGTACATATATCAACGGTTTGCAGTTCGCCTCTACCAGCCCCGGATGCAAGTTTACACGGGGGGGGGGGGAGTGTCGATGTAAGAATGGCGTAGCTGAAGTTGACATATCTTATTTCGACTTACCTCCCGTCCTCACGGCGCGGGATTGACGGCCGCGGCTCCCCCGTCGACTCCGCTTCCGCCTCTCACCCTGGTGGAGTTCCAGAGTCGACGGGGAGCGCGGTGGGGATCGATTTATTGCGTCTAGACGAGATGCGATAAATCGATCCCCGATAGATCGATCGCTCTGGCAGGTAGTGTGGACATACCCTTTATTAAAGTATAATACAGACTTACTGATTCTCTCCAATAACATAACAAGTGTCATGGAAAACTATCGACTAACTAGAGTGCAAACAAGACAAAACAAAACCCACACCTCTCACTTGCTTAAATCATTCGATTTGCTGTCAGTAAATAAAGTATTTTGCGGGATTAGCCAATGTATTTCCAAGGTGAGCAGACAATTACTACCACCATCTAAAGAGGCATGTAATAGAGATGGATAATGTGATGATTAGTATTGCAAATGTGGTTTTGTTAGTCAAATAAAGGCAAATTACTTTCATTTAATGAAATGCTGTGTTAACGCTACATGTGTTAATTGGATTAAAAAGCATTTAAAGATTGTCAGCCTGTTAGGTTGCCGGAATAGCTTTCAGTTATATGCTGAAAAGCAGTTGTAGAAATGGCCTTCCAAATGTGTCGTATCGCTCAATAACTCCAGATTGAGTTTGCTCAGCTAACAAATAAAAAGCTGTCGTTTTTGCTAACCAGCAGCCCTACACATTCAACCAGGAGTCCAAAAATCAAGCTATGTTCTTCTTGGCTTTCACATCATTATCATTAATAAAGTTCTACAGTTGGAATTTAATTAACAATTCTGTAGATGATTACATCAAAAACAATCCAGCTCACTCTCCCATAGCTGGATTACCTCTGCCGCGTAAGAGGAGTAAAAAGCTACATCCTAATGTGACTAATGTAAGCAGCAAAGACTAAATACACACAGGGAGCAGAGCTGTCAGGTGAAAAACTGCCATTTTCACATAGTCACTTTTCTGACCAAAACAGCAGTTTAGCATTGGTAATAACACATTTCAGAGAGTGTAAAAATGC